AGTTGGCCTGAATCAAAGACAATGAAAGAATATCGTGAATTTAGAAATTATGAAAAGAAAAGTTCCCATCGCTTTGGTATCTTGATCATTTACAGCCGTCTGAACCGTTGTAAGCCAGCCGAAGAAAGACTCCTTAAACATTAATAAAAAAAGCAGGTCGTCCTTTGATTTATCCTAGCAATCCGGATAGACATTCCGCAAAAACAACGCCTTGCTCCATGCAAATCCTGCCACAAGTGCTATCAGTTATTCATTACACCATCATACTTCGCCTTCTCGACGAGGTCTGTTCCTTCATCTCAAAGCTATCCTCTTGGTCAACCGCCGCGGAGAACCGCCGTGAGGATCTGGACTGCCGGCTTGGGCCCCGCCTTCTCTTGCCCTCCGCCGGTCCTTGTTTCCCATGCTTCGGCGACGAACTCGTAAATTCATATAGATCAACGTCATCAGATCCTGGGATATTCTCTGAACTTTGGTCCTTTGATGTATCTTCTTCCCTGCTCTCCTCGTCTTCTGTTGTTGAGGGAGATCGTTTGGATCCCTCGGTAGACCTTGACTTAGCCTCCTCTTCTCGTGAGACCTTCCCTGATGGGCTGGGAGGAAGCTTCTCCTGTGCAACTTCATCGGAAGCTGCAGCGCCCGCTAATGTCTCTGGTTCATGTTTTTTCTTAGAAAAATCACGGTGAATAGGTTCAGTGTGGCTAGTTCTGCGAGAGGCTGCAACGGCATCCACTAACTCCTTGGTTGGTCTCCTCATCTTGTCTCTCAGGTTGGGCTCCGCATAGCTAATAGTTGGCCTGCTTCGACGACTGGGGCGGGATACTTCTTCCTCGGCTGGCATATTGACGGGAGGGGGCGTGGCTCCTCTTGAAACCTTGGTGGGCTGTGCATCAGATGTTTCGGACTCGCTGTTGACTATTGCAACCACTGGCTCTGGTTCAGGAGATGGAAGTGGTACAACTTTCACGAGAGCTGAGTTCTTGGTCTTCGATTTGACCGGTTCCTGGATTGGCTTAGACTTGGCCAATCCCACCTTTTCAATCGCGACGTCATCCAGAATGGCCGCTTTCCCTGACTGGGGGTTCTTCTTTGGGGAGCTAAAGTCATCGTTTGTGTTTTTGGCCGAGAGTGGTTTGCGGGTCGCCAGTGGCGCTGAGGCCTGATCTCGGGTATCTTTCCTCATTGTTACCAGCTCCTTGAGAGTTTTCCCGCCAGTCTTCTCCCGGATTGATGTTTTGCTAGCCATCATTCGAGGAGGTTGGTTTTCATCCCGTCCTGATCCAGTCTTCTCCAAATCATCATTCACGGAAAATTTGCGCTTTGTCCCGGCCTTAGCAGGAGGAGCAATTGTGTTTTGGTTCTCTACAGCTGGGGGCTCCACTGTCTGGGGCTTCAACTGCAGAGGCCTCACTGTTGACTTGAGAGACTCCGCCTTGGACTGTAGCTGGGGCATTGGCTTCAATGGCATATCGCGTTTCTTCGGAGAAGGGGAGTTGTCCATGAAGGGGTCGGCTCTCGGGGATGGCAACGATTCTGGTGATTGGATTCTGTTCCTCGGGCTCGGGCTCAGGTTTGACGGTTCAGGAGATTTTGCGTGAGGGGATTCGACTTTGGTAGGTTCATTGTTGATGAACTGTGACATAGGTGGGGGGCCTAGCTCCGGAGACTCGACTGAATCAGCCTCGGAGCGTAGTGCAAGTATCTGTTCAGGGCTTTGGACTGTTAGCTTCAAGTAACAAAAAAACTTATTCTCCTCATCAACTTACTTCATCGACAAGCGCGGGTAGGATTTGTGTTCCGAGATACTTCCAAGCTCCTCGATGTCCCTAGCAACCTCTCGAAGGCGTCTCTGAGAGGGGCTGACACGACCATAAGCGCAGCTTGTTCGTCGTCTGGAGGAAGAGGTCCTTCTGATGCTGGGCGAGTGTCGCTTGGGGGGCGGTTCCAAGCCTAAGCCGGCGATCAGGTCACCCCATTCTGTGAGCTGAGATTCTAGCTTGGCCTTGATGGCGAGAGCATGGTCGGCGATTCTTCGTGCGTCGTTGTCTTCTACTTGTTTCTCAAGCTCGAGTATGCGACTTCGCAACTGGAGATTCTCGGACAACATGCAGGCGCAATCATTCTCCAGCTCTCTAATCTTGAGGGCGCGTACGTTGTTTGATTTGGCCAAGTCTCTATTCTGGCGTAGAAGCTTTCTTCGGACTGTGGAGGGGGGGATAACGGTTAATACTCCAAGACTTATAGACGGCAACAAAGATCGCGGACGTTAAACTTACGTGTTTCTAGGCTGTCCGTGGACACAGGAGGTTCGTTAAGCCTAGCCATTGTTCATAATGCGCGTATACCGAGCGCAAGAGACCTTTCGTGATCCTCTAGAGACTGTTCTTGGCAGCTCGCAACGACAATTTGTTCGAGGAGGTTGGGAAAGTGTCGGTCTGTGGAGTGGATGGAGGTAACTACCTGGCTTAGTGTGGGAAATATTTCAGTGGTGTCATGGGTTGGCAGGTATTTACAAACGGCCTGTTTTAGGTTAGCGTGCCCAACCCGCCAAGAAACGTCGGTTGGCAGGGCAGCAACGCGCCGACGCACGTGAAAGTTGGCCCAAGCTCCACTGACCCCACCAACACCAACGTCAAGACGCGGGACAGCACATTGGAATTGGGTAGCAATTGAATGTTGTATCAAATCACAGCAGTTTTCTTTCGACGCACTAATTCGATACGAATACAACGAAACCTGACTCTCTCGACATTGGCCCGGGGCCCTCTGAAACGATACAAGCGAGATGTCATACCCTACGCGATCTTTCTCTGGTCATCTTCGTGGACCCAGTGCTGTGGGTTCATCTGCCGCACATTCACCAGCTCTCGTAGCGCGTATTGAGGAGAAGAAGGCGGAACTTGCGCATTTGCAAGAACTCAAAGAGCTAAGCGCTGCAGTTGCAACGCAGATGGAGGCTTTGGAGCAGAAGCTTTCTACACTTTCTGATGGAACAGAAGGTAGGAGAGTTCGCGCATCACAAGTGGGTTAGGGCAACGCAATTAATAACTTGCTAGCTGTTGCAACCGTTCTCGGCAACTGGCATAATGTGCTACGGGCGATAAACATGGCATCGAGTATGAGATAATCTTTGCACACGCATGTTGTGTGAAGAATGAAGGCTGACGGGCCACTTAGCCAAGCTTGCAACCCCACCGAGTAACCCAGCCACGGAAGGAGATTCACAGGAACGACCTCGGGCGCTACCTCAAACCCTCGTGCGAATACCGACCGAGCACGCACCAGTAATCCAGGCTCAAGCGGAAGCAGCAGAGGCAGCAGCGGGCGACAATGAGGCTTCTGTTTTAGGCAGATGAGGGGACATAAAAAAGCCCCCTCCCCCAAAAAAAGAAGGAAACGAAGAACACTCAAAGGCGTTTCTTAAAACAGTGCACACTGTCAATCCTCGAAGAAGTTTAATTGCGATGCTGCGTCCCTCAACTGCCCGATGTTGTGCGAGTTGGGGAGACAAGCTCTCACTGTGGTAGCATTGACGCAGTGCCGTATGATGCTGAGCCCCTGGGCTTTGTTGTAAGTCGCCAAAATGCAATTTTTGGACATTGGAATACAGCAAATCAAAGTTGTGCTCAGACAAGACTTTGATACAAGGCGTATTACATCAGAAGTCTCCTGCAGTAAGCGGATGATCCAGGGAATTTAAAGCAGACCGAAAGCAATGGCGTCATTGAAGCTATCCGCGATTACCCTGATCGTGGGCGCCGTAGCAGCATCACCCCCCTACATACGGCACTTTTTTTTCTTTTTCTTGGGTCAATTGAACGCGGTATACAATACATGTCAATCCGAGATGCTATTGGTAGGGATTGTTTACAGCTATGGATTGAGTATAGTAGCTTGGGCTTTTTACTTCAAGAGCGGCCAACAGCTAGGGCTTCGACTGAACCGTTTGCCTGGAAAAGGCGGAAGGGCAACGCTACTGTGATCTAGTATGTCGTGTGTGATATGTTTTGCATATTACTAGTAGCGGTTCACCCCGAGGTCACCACTTTTGAGCTCAGGTGGCCAACACTCAACCAGAAGCTCTATACAACACCTCATCATAGCCGACCAACAAAAGACAAATAACAAGATTTCACCTTCTAGAATTTCTGGATTCCGGGAAACTCAAACGAACGAAGTTATCAGGGGCGGCACCGAACCATGTATAGAATCTACTATGTACGTTCGCTAGTGTTGGCCTCGAATTCGGATATTGTCCATCTGACAGGGGTGTCCAGACTGCCAATAGTAAAGCCAACCTCATGAAGTAAAAGAAATTCTTATCTGCACCATCCGCAAACAAATGCGATAGCCTATCTGTTTCTAGATAAATGAGGCTTTTCTCAAGTAGAACACATGAGAGAGATAATTGGTTCTTTGCAAATGTCCCTCTTGAGTGGACGTGTGATCAGACGCGAGATTAGTAATTTCACGCGCGTGTGGAAATGGCAACTTCCGTCACGCGGCGACCTTCTGACCAACGACCTACTACCAACATGTACAGCTTGCACAATTGTTGGAAGTCACAACTCGCTCAGGAACTTCTCACTTTGGTAGAGGATGGCGTGGCTCGGGAAGGTGCCTAGTAGCCATTCCTCTAACAGTAAGAGATGTGACAGTTTTCTCCCTTCTCCTCCTCTTCTCTTTCTTTTCAACATGGAAACACCATTATAGATAATGCTCAGTCTTATCTTGTGAATTCTGCCTGCTTACTGCTGCATCCGTACCACGAGTCTTTATTGAATGCAACGCCAGGCCACTGGATCCTGCACAAGCTCCCACCGAAGTCTTTCTTCTTGACCCCTGAGACCATCCGATCCTCCTCCGGTTCTTGGACTTAATTACGGCCCCGCTTCCGTCAACTTCGGCCTGCACCCCTGTTAATTACAAGATAATAACCCTTGACTGGCGTTGAAGGTTTTCCAGGGTCCCAATATTGGTAAGGAGACGCGCCAGAGAGGATGTTGGGGCATACATACCTCCCGCCGCCGCAGCGAGCAGACAGCTTGGATCTCCTCGCACTCGATGCAATTGGGTTGCAAGATAGCTTTGACCTGGCCGCCGGCGCCAATTGCGAGCCGTTAGGAGCGCTGTCGGTTGGCGGCGACGAGAACACACCCACTCTCCCAAACGCATCGACCTCAACCGTCTAGAAGACGGCGCGGGGAGATCTAGATTTCGCGAAGCGTTTGGCACCCGGAGCTCACGCAACCTCGAGGGCGAAGCAGCAGCGACCACCAGTTCAGCCAGATACTTTCGAGTCCACCGAGGGCCAGGAAGAGAGTCGAGTAGTCGACATTGTTCGCAAATCGCACCTCGCGACCACTGGCGCAGTTGTTACCAGTCCGTCGCGCAACATTTCCTCGTGTGGTAGTGAGTAGCTTTCCGTGCCCTTTATGTTCTACGCTATAACTAAGCCTGGTCGATGCAGCCAACCACCAGGCGAATCATATTCTGGCAAACGCATACGAGGACTGCTCTATCGAGGAGCAAGTTCAGAACCAGCTTGCAGGTCAGTTCGAATGGTTGATCATACGTCCAGCACCAGCAACTTCAGCCGAGCACCATGTCTCCCACGCAACCAGCGAGAGCGACATCTCCAGCGGATCGAACGGGAAAATGGTATTCGGCTGCAATTTGCTGTTTCGCAGGCGGCGATCAGCCTCTAGGAAGGCCGGTGTCGGGTGTCCCTTAGCTAACAGCTACGCTTTTATAGCCACTCCGCTGGGGGGTGATGCTAGCATGGTGTTGCAGAACGAAGGGCCAGAGGGCCGAAACCTCATGGCTACCATGTCGAACGATACCCAGGGTACCTACCTGGATGCTTATCAAAAACCAATCTCAACGATTGATGTGATGGAACAAGCCGTGTCACCCTCACTGACCGTTTTCAGTGAGAGGAGTGGCAGCTGTGCGGATGGATCCTCGCGTGCTGGGTCTTTTTCATTGCCAAGGATCGAGGACTCGCTCGCTGAGCTCGATCAGCTCGAGGATGAATTAGAAGCCGTTACAGCCATCGCAACCTCCAAAAGCGGGGGATCCTCCGACCGGGGAAAGTCCCAACCTACTCAAGAGCCCGTGATTGATCCGAAGAAGGAAAAAGCTAGAAAGCGTGTCACGTTGGCGATCCCTCAGGGCGCCGCGACTGTACGAGCAAAACCCAGTGAGAAGATACGGCCAGCACTCCGGCGGAGCAGCTCATTGACTCTACGAAGTCGCCCAACCGAGGAACAGAAAGTCCTTGTTTCGGTGCAGAATGAAGCTTCGCAGCCAAGGACCTCAGTAGCTCCTCGCTCCTCAGGGTCCAAGCCAATGGTAACTTCGACAAAACCGCTTACAGTACCTAATTTTGAACTCCCCGGCGAGGCTGTCGCTCGCCGACTGAAGGAACAACGTGAAGCCCGCCGGGCACAACAACAAACCGCCGCGCCAAAGGCCTATGCTGCACCCCTACGTCCAAAATCCGATAAGCCTTTGACCAAGCCATCTTTCGAGCTTCCTGGAGAGGCAATCTCCCGGCGGAAACGAGAAGAGCGGGAGGCCAGACTGAAAGCTCAAGAAGAAGAAGATCGTAAAAAGCGCGAGTTCAAGGCTCGTCCGGTCAGACAGAGTGCTGGTCCAATTCCTATTATTCGCGCTCAGAAAGCAAAAGCAGCCATTAGTTCAGATGCTCATCAGGACCCTCCTGCAGACACAACATCGAAGGCCAAGCGAGCATCCGCCGGCCCAGTAAATTTTTCATCAGCTGCACTAACTATCGGCAAAGCTGCAGGCCGTCGAGGCCGAGTGTCATTCATCGAACCTCCTGACGACGCAAGCCGTGGGACATCTGAGTCGGCTAGAAGCACATCTGGAAAGCGAAGTTCAGTATCTTGTGAAGAAGTAGTGAACCAGCGGGCAAGAGGTAAGGAGGTTCTCATCCAGGATAATAGCTTCAAGATCAACCGGGAGCGCGAGAAGCGGGAACGAGAAGAGGTTGCGAAATCGGCAAGGCAGCAGGCGGCCGAACGCTCTAGGGCGGCGAGCCGAGAATGGGCAGAGAGGAGGCGGCGAAAGGAAGAGGCCCTCCTTCGAAAAATTGGGCAGTCGAGCGAGGGGATGAAGGGCTCGAATGCTTGATAATACACACCACGATTCACTGTACGGCTTCTATTGTGTGGGACGTGTTAGGAGTTGGGAGTACAACCAATGCTTTAGGCGCATGGCATAAGGGGGCGTCCTGTTTGTTTCTTTACTTTTGGTCCATATGGGCACCGGCGTTTCTGGTGCAAGATGCCACAATATGGCATGGAGTGTTTTTGTAGATGCATAGGTAGGGTGAGGCTTTGCGGCACGTTTTGTCCTCATCTGGAGAGTGGATAGTCTGGGATTGTACATCATTGTCAATATACTTTTAAAGCTACAACCATCACCTTTCGCTGTGCCACGGCAGACCATCAAAGCTCTAATGTTGTGTCGCTGGTGTTGTCGAAAGTCTAGTTGATGCTCATCTTATACTGGTTGGCGGGTAGCCGCGGGGCCTCATCACTAATAGATGGATACTTTAAAGCAGCGACTCCCTCTTCCACCTGACACCTACATTCTTCCATCGCAAAATCAACAGTCAACCATCATCAAGAGGTTCTCTTTCAGATTTGGTACCTCTCAGAGCCATCCATCCATCGGGTTCATCACATATCGTCCGCTGCGATACATCAGGCAGGCAACCATGTCTCATTGTCATGATGAGCATGCGGGGCACGGCCATGATCATCACGACCATGAACATGATCATACCGATGACCTTACCCCAGCAATTCAGTTCTCGCTCTACGAGCAAGTCAACTTTGATGAAATCATTACTCTGAATGAGTCACGACGAGACGCAGGCAAGGCAATTGTGAAGAAGACCTGGGCAGAACGACTGAGTGTCGAGCCCGAGCTGGAAAGTGATGCTGATGAACAAATCTTAATGACCGTGCCGTACGTAAAATCAGAATACCCTACCAAGAGCTGATGAGCTGCTCAACTCTCAGTCTACACAACGGATACCGAGAAAGAAAAGAAAAAACTCGGCTTGGCGGAACTACCAACTAACATGATCCCACAGCTTCACGGCCCAGATCAAACTCCACTCCATCCTCCTGCGCACATCCCCGAGCCCATCGGCGCCCAAGACGCTCCACGTCTACATCAACCGGGACGACATGGACTTCTCGGCGGCCGAGGACGCTACCCCCGTGCAGAAGTTCGAGCTGTCGCAGACGTCGGACGTGCAGGAGATCCCCGTCAAGCGGGCGCTGTTCGGCAAGGTGCACCGGCTGGTGCTCTTCTTCGTCGACAACTTCAGCGACGGGGACGAGGACGTGAGCAGGGTCAGCTACGTGGGCTTCAAGGGCGAGTGGACGAAGCTGGGCAAGGCGCCCTCCAACATCCTGTACGAGGCGGCGGCCCAGCCTGGCGACCACAAGGTGAAGGGGACCAGTGTGAATAAGATGAGTCACGGGCTGTGATTCGACAGGATGTTCACTTCTAAAATTAAGGTGTGGAAGAGGCTACGTCTTAGTACTAGTCACTGTAATTTGAACAACCAAAAAAAAAAAAACCTGTCAACATATCAAGTTGAACAACTGAAGCAGCTGAAGTGAATGTCTGGCCTAGAACAGGCGGCACTGATTCTAGTGGTCTAGGGTAGCTGGCGGGTGCCGTAGATGAGCCGAGCTGGGACGATCCAACATCGGCCAAAATTTCGTTCCACGCCTTCAATAATCATGGTTCCAATCCCACGCAACGCCGCTTAATTCATCACCAACACATCAATTCGCCCACGATGCCACCCCGTCTACCGCTGCGGGTGGCTCTCCCCCGGCCCTGCGCCCGCCCCGAGTTCGCCCGCCCCCTCGTCCTCCCCTTCACACCCGCCCGCGGCATCAAGTACGGCTGGTCGACGGCTCCCCCCCGGAACAAGCACAAGCGATTCAACCAGCCCAGCGCGGGCCTCCCAAAGCTCACCATGGGGCCCGGCGCCGCCCTGAAGCGCCGCGAGAAGACGACGCCACTGAGGGCCGGCGTGCTCGCCACCAAGAAGGGCATGACGAGCATGTTCGTCGGCAAGGACCGCGTCCCCTGCACCGTGCTGCAGCTCGAGCAGGTCCAGGTCGTGGCCAACAAGACGTACGAGAAGCACGGGTACTACGCCGTCCAGGTCGGCATCGGCTCCAAGGCCGCCCGGAACGTCACCAGCCCGCTGCTGGGGTACTACGAGGCCAAGGGCATTGCCCCCAAGGCGGAGCTCCACGAGTTCAAGGTCCGGGACAGCGAGGGCCTCCTGCCCGTGGGCGCCCAGATGCAGCCCGATTGGTTCCAGGTCGGCCAGTACGTCGACGTCAGGGGCCACTCGCGGGGTATGGGCTTCGCCGGTGGTATGAAGCGCCACGGCTTCTCCGGACAGGAGGCATCCCACGGTAACTCGAAGAACCACCGTACCATTGGTTCAACTGGTCCCTCGCAGGGCAGTGGTAGTCGTGTTCTTCCGGGGAAGAAAATGCCCGGTCGGATGGGTAACGAGTCGGTCACGGTGCAGAACCTCAAGATTATGAAGGTCGACAACGAGCTGGGCATCGTGCTCGTCAGCGGGCCTGTTCCCGGGCCCAAGGGCCGCACCCTCCAGATCCAGGATTCAAAGAAGAGAAAGCCCCCCGCTCTACATCACCGCGAGAGCTCGCTCAAGACACTTTTAGAACGCAACCCGGACGCCGAGGAGAAGCTGGAGGCTGCCAGAGTGAGGCACATGGAGCTGAAGGCTCAGCGACAACCAGAACTCGATCTATGAAGCGGGATCGACTGTGAAAATTTGTTATGAACTATCGTGGTTTTGTTTTTTAAGAGATCACGGATGAAGAGATGCATATGCGGTAGAAACTCTCGGGCCTAATGGAGTCAAGCTGGGCATGTACTATATATAAAACAATTCACTATTGTACAAGAAACTTTTTTTTACACCACCCTCTCGTCCAACCTTGCGTTCCCGTCCATTGTGCTGAGATTACTTTCTTCCATTGTACACTGGATCCTCTTATGAATGCATAGTGAGATCACACTTACCAAGCGCTCACCGATTGAGGGCACCCTGCTGTCTATAACCCCTCCTCGCAGCCTCCTCCGCCTCGAACGCCTGATCATCCTCGTCGGTGAGGATGCTCTTGAAGGGATCACCACCCTCCAAGAGGTTGATCGTCTGGCCGTCCTCGGTCTCCAGACTCCACTCGGAGGTCTCGAACATGCCCCTGTGCGTGGGCCTGTTGCTCACGAAGCGCATGGTGCCCCAGCCCTTGGTCCCCTTGACGGTGAACCAGATGCTAATGCGGCCCTTCATCTGGTTCATCTCGCCGTGGATGTAGGGGATCTGGTGCTTGAAGTAGATCTCCTCGCCCAGCACCTCGCGGGCGCGCGGGCTCGTGCGCAGGGCGTACATGGTCGAGGCGATGACGGGCGACGACGACTTCTGGTAGTTGAACATGGCGGCCGAAGCGATGGCGATGAGGGCGACGAAGATGGGCATGGTGCGGCGCCAGCGGAAGCCGATCTGGGCGACATCTTGAAAGACATGTGAGTTGAGCATCCTCTTTTTGGTTCATAGGTCTATGGGGTTGGCCGCCGGGCGCAAAATATATATACCTGGAAGCTCACGATCCGCTCTTCGGGACATGAGCGGCCCATCTCCAGGCCTGGGAGCCGGTGTCAGCCATCTTCTCTGGAGGCACCTGTTCGGCGCGGTTCTCGATTCGGCGGAAAGGCTTGTCCTCGCAAGAGGTGCCAGTCGGCGCCGAACAACCCGTGACAGCATGGTTGTTGGCTTGTCCGTCGTGTTTTTCGTTGCAATTGGGGTTTCAACCGGAAGCACAGCAGTTATCGGATGTTCAAGAACTGGCGATGACTTTCTGGTGGGGGGGCCCGAACATGTGGAACCAGCCACTGTGGCGCCCGATTGTGGCTAGGCACAGTCACAAGCTCCCAACGGCTTCTGTAGCCAGCAACGTCATCGGCCTGCATTCTTTTGTACAGCTTCGGGAGGGAAGCTTTTTCCAGCCCTTTTTGACCTGGATTTTTTATTATTTCCAGGCCTCGCCATGGATAATGCTAGAGGTACTGCCGCTCGGCTGCGGCGCACGTTCCAGTACCCAGATGACAACCAGAACGACAGCGAAGGCTCCGAGCCCGAAGCTATGGACGAAGAAGGTACGTTTCCTCTTCATCCAGTAAACGAAGACACTTCAAATTCCGCGATATAATAGGGAAAAAGAAAAAAAGAACAAAATGAAAGCTAAAGCTGGAGAAATACACAGAACAAGAAGCCCTGATAACCCGCCTCGCCGCCGAAAACGCCTCCCGCAACGCCACATTCACCCGCGTCCTCTTCTACACCTCACTCGCCGCCGCCGTCTGCTACCTCCCGTCTCTGCTCCTGCCCTTCTACGCCGGCGTCACGAAGCTCTTCTCCATCCTCGCCGTCACGTCCCTGGCGTCGACGGCGTTCATCCTGCATCGCCTGCCGCCCACGGCCACCGGCATCGCACTGCTAGATGGTGGGAGCAGCAAACCCAGCAAAAGACAAGATCTCCCGCTGAGTATGGGGGCGGTGCAGAGGTCTCCCCTCGAGACCTACCTTCCGTATCTGAACCTCGGCCTCATCACCGCCCTGGTTCTCATGGGGGTGGTCACAAAGTCAAACGTGGCGAGTTTTGGATGGATCGGGATGGGCAACCTACCAGCCATTGTATACATTGTAGTTCTCGTAGCAAAGATGGTCATGGCCAGTGTTGACCCAGAGGCGGAGCTGTCAACTCTTAAATATGAGTACAAGGGCGCTTAGGCTAGCCGGACCAATTTCTCCCAAGTCTTTCTTTGTCAACATTATGATGGCCAATCGACATGAATTCAAGATTGAATGAATAAATGCGATGAAGCTCAGTCCAGATAGACGTGACCATGCCGTAACATCTAATTGTAAACCATTCTACATGTCTATCGAGTCATTAAATCGCAAAACACCATAGCTTTTCAAAACACCATCTACCCCCTGAACCGTTCGCGAGAAAGGATCTGAATGTGGGCTTGCCTCGATGGGGTCTGTTGATTTGTCTACCACAAGGGCCAAGCCGTGAGACTTGATTGCATCCACGAGTGCAGGTACCATGTCCTGAAAACAATAGTTAGCGAAAGAACCACCTATAACCTGTTGAGTATTTCAGCTTACCAAAAGGCGGGAGAAGCATATCAGGCCCATAAAGTTATTGCTCTGGGCAATTCGGACCACCTCCTTGATAGATGCGCTTCGCCGCCCACTACTTTGGATGGTATTTAGTGAGGGAACTGTTCCCTCTCTCCCCAGGTCATTACACAAGAACACGGGGAAGTTGGGCTGTTTCCAATTCAGAGCAGTGCAGAGCCGTGGGTTATAGCTGCTGAATACGATCGATCGGATAGATTCGGGTGACTGCGCGCGCTGCGCTCGTGCGTGATCAAAGACAATCGACAAAATGGCATCAACGAATGTGTTGACATCCAAGGCTGGCCCAAGAGACAAGCCCTCTTCTTCCTTGGGTGTGGGATATAAAACTTCCAGGTTGATATGGATTCTAGGGGGTAGGATAGCGAGGGCTTCCTCGAGGGTTACGCCTGCGTTGGCAAGGATCTGGTATATCTCGGTGATATTTTCTGTTGATTTAGCAGGGAGGTTGGCGAGTTCTCTGCGGCTGGGACTCTGCGCCGTCGTAGCCTTGAACTGGCTGACCGTCAGCCTGCAAACGGGAATATCAAGCCCACCACAGGGTATGGTCCAACGAGGCCACAGAACCGGAACGCCGTCACTCGTGTATTGAACATAAAGTCGCACGTAGTCGCCGGAGAGACTTGACCCAGTTACAATAGCACTAGTAGGCTGATTAAACTGGCTTGTGGCCTTCCAATAGGTTTCAAAGTCAGTAATCTCCAATGGCTGTCCTTGGAACGGCTTGATGACCTGTGTGTTGAATGTGATTTGTCCAATGGCTCTCAACCGGGGGTCGAATAGTGGGAGGCAGGACTGAGAGTTCCCAGGCAAGCTCTTGAATGTGCTTGGCAGCACAACTGTTTTAGCAATAACCTTTGCGCCGTAAGCGGGGAAAACATCGAAGTCTAATGAAAACGAATCGAGACTGTCAATCTGGAAAGAAACAATCCGAGTGTCTTCTTGAAATGGCAGAATGATGTTCTTGGGAATAAGGTCGGAAACTTTAGACGAGATAGTAAGTCTAGCAGCTGGATATTTTCCGTCTTGGAAAAACACAAGAGGTTGCTCGACTGAATCAAAACTGATTTGGACCACAATTTTCGTGTCGAGGAAGTTGTGTCCGTATCTTCGAAGTGGAATGATCGGGGGTGGCAGCTCGAGAATAGGGATGGCATCCGGATCCAGACTCATAGGAGCTGGGCCAGAACTGCCGTCGATGGGACCGAGTAATGGTTGCATGAGCATGGGGCTTGTGCGCGACCTAGTATAGAAAGGCGCAAGAAGCTTCATACACTCCAGATGTCCTTCCCAGGCTGCGTAGTACATGGCGGGCAATTCCGACTCGTCCAGGATGTTGGGATTCGCTCCAGCCTTGAGTAGGGCTTGGAGACACTCGACATTGCCCTCGCTAGCAGCATGTACCAGTGGCGTCCAACCGTACAATTTATCAACCTGGTCCAGATCTGCGCCGTACCTCTGTAACAAGAGAAGAAGATCAGAGGTCTGCCCAGCTCTCGCCACGAGATGCTGAGGGTAGAGTCCTTCGGCATCTGGTACGATTCTGGCCCCGTGCTTCAACAGAATCTCTACCACAGCGACTGAACCGTGTTCGCAGGCAAGATTAAGCGGAACATGGTCGGATTCTGAGACGGGATCTATTCTGGCTGATCTCGAGAGAAGACGTTCAACGCAATCAAGGTGTGCATGGATGATGGCATGGATTAAGGGTGTGAAGTTGTCGTGATCGATGAGGTCAATGGTGTTGGAGCCGACTGTAGACTGTCAGTACTGGTTCGAGGATAAGAAGGGTCTTATAAGGGAAATTGCATCACATACCGCTCAACAATGCGTCCAGGATCCCGATGCGACCATGCAAACTAGCATAATGGAGAGGTACACGGCCGTAAACATCGGTGCGGTCGACAACAACGTTGGCATCAAGGCCCCATTTCAACACATGTTCCTTGCCGTAAATCGCAGCTTGGTGCAAGCAGTTTCTCTCGTTGATGTCATCGTAGGAGTGAAGGTCCACGAGGCCAGTGTCGAGAAGAACCTGAAGCGTCTCTACCGGGGCGTCATGGATTGCGGCAAGGAATGTGCGCGTGATGCGTTCCATGAGAGAGTTATCCCCTTCGCTTGTATCACTTGCAAGTCGCATCTTGGTCAACAAGTCTCGGAGCGTGCTGATATTCCCTGTGACAACCGTGTCGAGGAGTAGTGTGTCGGCGTCCCCTTCGTCTGTTCCTACGAAGTTTTGACTCGTTACCACGTGCCCTGATGCTCTGAAGTCAACCTGAATCCCATCTGACCAAGCGCCGAGCTCCTGAAGGCTGGTCGTGGCCTGATCTGAGAGCTCGCTGATAACTGTGGCATTGAAAAATGGCTGGACCTCGACAGCGCGCGAGAGGTAAAGTTCTTTAGTCTTGGACTTGGACGTCTTGTCCCACTTCTTCAGGATCTTAGAGAAGGCTGTCCCGTTGACCTCGACGAACTGTTGCAGCTTATTCAGGTCGGTGGCGAACTGTTGGAAGCCTTCTTCTAACGTCGTGAACTTGGCTGAACGTCTTGAGCTCCCTTGCCGGCTCTGGAGGACCTTCTTTTTATCGAGGAGGGTCTTGAGACGTATTTTAAGCTACATCAGAGGGAAAAGAAAGTCAGTGGCGGTTACACAGAGTCGACGGTCTCCCGTAACGTGGTGGTTTGTCCTACCTCGGCCTCCTTTTGCAGGTAGAAGGCATTGACCTTGTCTAATTCTCGCTCCTACTCCCATGTTAGTTCCCGGATAGGCTTCAGGGGGTTCTTCTTTTCTTACCAGTTGGAAGAAAAATGTGGCCTTGTTTGCCTGGAGTGCAGCTTGCGAGTCTGCAGGTATGGAAGGGCGCCCGTTTCCATTTTGAGCACTGAGCGTAGGCGTCGCAGAGAGCTTTTTAATGAGCTGAGAAACAAATACACTGTTAGCGCTTCACTCGTACACGGGCATTTCCCCGACCGCTCAGCACTCTCGTTACAAAAGAGGCAGCCCAATGTCGTGGGGGGTTAGGTCCTGATGTGACAAATACAAGAGACTACTGGTGGTTGGTGTGCAGCAAGCCTTCCTGCACGCACGGCTCGGGGTCTCGGAGACGACGAGCCCTTCCAATGAAAATCCGCATGTACTAGACGGTGAAGGAAAAGAAAACGGGATGGCGCAGATAGTGCGTGCCTCACCTTTTTCAGTGCTTTGTAATTTACGAAGCTGGCTGCGTACTCGGGCACCTCCAGTTGGCGCTTCTGAATCTGCTTGCCGAACTTCCTGCAGGTGTGTAAGACATGTGATCCGACATGACATGGAACAGAAGAGAGAAGAAGGCGAGGAGGCATGAGCAGTAGGGCAAGACTGCTCTGGGGGACTGCCACTTACATGATGCAACTGGCTGAGCGGGGGTACCTGGACAAGCACAGTTGACAGAAGTCGTTGAATAAGCCGTGATGTCCTACGGCATGCAGGCGACAGGAGCCGGAAAGAGAATGGAGTGCTTGACTGGTGGCGCGCAAGCTACGTCCCGTTGCTTGTGGGTGCTATATCCGGGTCCCAGCAGGCGTATCCCGCTCTCTGTCTCTAGCACGAAGGTAAGTCTGGGCTAATAGGAAGAAACTGAGTGTTATGACACCAATATCAAAGCTATCCACGGCGCGACTGAAACATAGGATGGTGATGTGGTAGAACGTGGGGTTATGCCTTGGGGTGTGAGGTGAGAATAGTGGTTTCTCAGCCAGACGAAGGGGGGCACCAATACGGGAGGAGGAAAGTCCACATACACCGTTGTAGATCGGTATCCCTGAAGCGGAAGGCAATGAGAGGTAAGAGCCGGATTGCGAACGAGTGACGACCTGCTCGAAGTATTGGGCAGTGTAGGGTGGTGTCGGCCTTTTTTTTTTGCCCTTGGCTCAGAGTCGTCGAGATGGCGCCTTGAAAATGAGGAAGGGCGGATGGATATGACTCGCCACGTTCTTAGGAAGAACTCGGCCTGGAGCAGACAAGGTTAAACCAAACCGGCGCACAGGGCAGGAGGAACGAGGAAAAGAGAAGTTAAAGGTAATAAAAAAGGCGAGTTCAAAATAGAAACCGGTAGGATAGTACCCCGCTGTCCCGGTGTCGGGAATGCTGAGCGAAAATGAAGGGAAATGGGCATCACCTACAGACAACTGAAGACTCGAGTCTGGGTCTAGTAGTAGCACTGAGCTACCAGCGAAGCGGGGGGGGTTCTGGTGGTGGTGACCGAGGCAGCAACCTACAATAACAACTTACGGCAAGGCAAGGTAATCGATCGACTTAAAGGGAAGGGAAAAATGCACCTGGACTAAGGCCCCGACTAGGCACTTGCGGGCTGCATGCTGGGAATCTACGCGTCGCCATATCATGGGACAGACGAAGCAGTCCAACGGGCCATTTGCACCAGACGTGCGCAGAAAGGCCCGCATCCATCTGTCCAGAAGGGTAATATGTAATATTGATTAGCACCACCTGTGTCCGTCGGTTGGCAGAGCAGAGCCCACGCCGCCCAGCCTGCTGCCCACTACCGCCATCGCCATGCCCCGAACCAGATGGCGCGCCTTGCCCGGTGAGTCTGGCGGCGCCTGCAAATAATACCTTCACCTCTTGGGGTTCGACGCTGAACCGCACCATGTATTAGCCGGCAGCGTGGGCGGAGCGGGCTCTTGGCTAACAGCTGCCAGAGCGCCCCGACGCCGCCAGCCAAGTGGGGAGGGGTGCCCCTTCGGACGGCGGTTTCCTGCCACACCGGGAGGCTCAACCCCCTCCGTCCAATCGCTGGCCGATATCCCAACCCGTGCCTGCTCGATAGGTATGTAGAGCTTGAGCTGCCCCTGCACCAGGACGGGGGGCGAGGGCTCACGTGCATGATTGGGACGAAGGCGGTGGACCGTTCACGGGACTCGCAGCAGCGACGGCGCTCATGTTGGGTTCCGTGACACATGCGGCCATGACTTCATGTCACACAGACGGGACGCAGGAAAAGCAAACAGAAAAATGCCAACGGCCGCCCCGAGCTGGCAGCTATCCAGCCTGGAGCAGCGTGGGGTTGGACAGAGGGTTCGTAGTCGGTCGTCTAGTTCTAGGCCTAGCTAGCTACCTACGTAAGATCGGGTAGATGCTAGGACACCTCCGTCATTATGCATATCTTGTCGTTCGTTCTCCGAAAGAATCATCGATGAGCCAGTTGATCCGTCACAAAAAAAAACTATCCCAACAAACTAGCTCCAATACAAAAATCCCACCCGCCTTCTCCCCTTGCTTTCAGCCCAAAACTCCACCTGCCGAGAAAGGCCTCACGCATGATGACTATGGGTTATTCCAGTGAGGAATACACGTATGTATACATTAGTCCTCTCCAGCTCGATGCTTGGGTGCCATTACATACGGCACCATCGAAAGGGGCCGAATGATCCCGGTTGATCTCAACTTCCGATCGAGTTAAACCATTGTTGCGATGACCTAACTGGTGAATTGGACGCGGTTGGGAAACCATTTGTCTTAAATATTCAAAGCTCCTTCTGACGACTAAACTGGCAAAAAACCTACAATGCTTTGACCCCATAATTGCTGGCTCGGATTCTCCATGATACACGTAACAGTCCCTTGCAACAATGAGCAGCCACCCACATAACGCATGATTCGAAACGAAAATTTCGGGTATACCCATTCCTAACAACCTCCACTGCATCCAGGCTTGCTTCCACATCGAAGCCTAGGCCTTCTTAGCGGTTGAGTCACCGTCCTTGCTCGGGCTGGGCTCAACCAAGCTATCGGCCATTGCTTCTGCAGCCGCCTGCTTCAGCCTTTCGTTGTCGCCTTGGTCGGCATCCTTGGTCTTGGGCTTGCTCTCCTTGGTGTCCTTGGGGTGGTCTCTCTCATCCTCGCTATCACCAAGACTGAAAGGGTCGTTGTCTCCAATTGGGCTGGGATCGACAGATGACAGCGGTTGCCATTTGCTTGCCTTGGTACCAGCCTTGGGCGTACCATCCTTTGGCGGCACTTGAGGTGAGGCATCGTACAACTGGATCTCTTCGGTCTCCTCCTTGAAGCCAACTCGGCGTCCCTCCTTAGGCCTAGGGGAGGTCGAGTGTTGCCTCTGAATTCCAGTGTAAGGGGCGGTCCTATTGATAGGGGCTTCATTCAAGTTAGCTTCGATTGAATTGCATCTTCTCGCAGGTCCAAAATGCTGGGATACTTACTGCCGTCGGCTGACAACTTCATCCCCGCAAAATCGTCCCCGAGAACCTGTGGGTCGGCGTCGTAATCGCCGCTCCTCCGACTTGTCTCACCCGGCCGACCATAACCTTGATTATAATTATGACCTCCCTGACCCTGGCCCTGTTGTTGGTGGTGAGGATCTTCGCTTTCGTCAAAGGAGTCTTCGATCCGCTTCCTCAACATATCAATCCATCCATTGACCTTGGTCTGTGTCTCAGCGAACCCCTGGCGCAACTGGTCACGAATCACCGGAAGGTCATCGTCGATAAAGCTGTGCTCTCGCTCATCGTCGGGATGTTGCTGTCCCCTGGGGTGGTCGCGGTTTGATGTTCGCTGTTCATATTCCCCAACGTTGTCGTAGTGTTCCGCCAGCTGGCGCGCGTACAACTCATCCGCCTCCATCTGGGTGAGCTCCCTCCGTCCTTGAGGTCGTGGCGGCTGTGGAGGAGGGGCTTCTTGCGGCTCGTTCTGATTGACGGCTTCCGGGTCGGTCATTTCTAGATATGTTAGTTTTCCTTTGATTTCCTGAGCCTCGGGTTCAAACCATACCAAGCAGCGCGTTGAATGCTGGCTCGACTTGACCCCCGCTGGCGCGCAAGACAGCCTTGATAACCCCCGAGTCAACCGAGGGGAATGCCTCCTTTAGAATCGCTTCATTCTTCTGCGCCTCCGTCAGAGGGCGGGGGGGTTTCGAAGGGGGGACCTCATCCCTCGTTGCTGTCGTAGGCTGAGTTGTGTTCTCTGTTGTAGATGCAGGCACAGCCGCGTTGCTGGGAGTCTGTCCCGAAGGAGAGGTTGTGGAGTTTCCCTCTCCTCCTAAGATCCCAGTCTCTTGCACATCGTCGTCATCCATCTCGAGAGGTCTAGCGGTTGTAGGCGACTCGGCACCGCTTTCTACTGTATTCTTGTTCTTTGTTGATGTTAGTGACACGTCTAGCGTGTGGGATCTAGGTCCAGTTATTAATGAGATTGGTTGGCGGGAGCTCACCGTATCGGCCGGCGTCGACATATTCGGGGGCGTAGGACGCAGCAAGCAGGTAGTGAGGTTGCTAAAACTCCCTCTGGTATTTCAGTCGCCTTTCTTCGTGCGTACAGTGCCCTTGTGAGCCGGGACGAAGCGTTCAACGATGAAATTAAAATGATGAATGTGGCTTCATCTTGTATCACGATTCCAGAGGACGAGGGGTAGCTTACCACCTACTGATGACGTTCTCCACATATCCGCTCAGCCTACTAGGCTAATAAGAGGCACATGCGCCGTAGGTTATGCTGGATTTAGGGTAGTCATATTGTGTTTGCGTGCGGCGAACGAGCCTTAAATAAATTCCAACCTACCCTGTGGCGAAGATGAAGGCTCCGTGATCCATCTACTTACTTAATTTAAGCCTTAATTGAACCTTTCATCACAATAGCCGGAGGAGGCCTTTCATCCTAGGAGTCTATTCTAGGCTTAATATCATTATATAGGTAGAGAACCTTGACTTTGTGAGGCGCTCGTCTCAATATGGCGGAGTTCAGCACCGACTCAAATTTCATTCCTGCGCTGCACAAACCTCCCGCGTTGCTACCAATCGCCAAATATCGGGAGAGTTTGCTGTACGTCATCGAGAAATCTCCAGTCACCATTGTCATTGGACAGACGGGATCCGGAAAGACAACACAGATTCCCCAGTTTCTTGAAAATGCTGGCTGGTGCTCCGACGGCAAGGTAATCGGCATCACGCAGGTGAGTAACGAATGGAATGAGGATACCGTCGAGACATACAAACTAACGCTACTACAGCCTCGGAGGGTTGCGGCCACGACTGTGGCAGTACGTGTTGCCGAGGAGTTTGGTTGTGAGATTGGGAAAGAAGTCGGATACTCCATAAGATTCGAAGATGTCACCTCATCTTCGACGCGCATCAAGTTCCTGACCGATGGACTACTCATCCGCGAGGCCTTGGTTGACCCATTACTGAGCAGATATTCCGTCATCATGGTTGATGAAGCGCACGAGCGGTCAATCAGCACAGATGTTCTGCTTGGATTACTGAGAAAAATAAGAAGGAAACGGCCGGACTTGCGGATCATTATCAGCAGCGCAACGCTCCAGGCAGAGGACTTTCTAAAATTCTTCTCAGAGGGTCCCGAGGACACGGCAGCAGCCAAAATTGACTCTAAAGAAAACGAAGTCGCAACCATAATCAGTCTCGAAGGGAGAACATATCCAATTGATATCCTCTACCTCGAATCGTCAGCCGAAGACTACGTGGAGAAAGCCATCAAGACAGTCTTTGACATACATACCCAGGAAGGTCCTGGTGACATACTCGTCTTCTTGACTGGCCGGGAGGAAATCGACACTGCCGTCGAGGCTGTATCTGAACGAGCCTCGCAACTAGATGCCAGACAAGGCGCGCTTCAGCCCCTACATTTATACGCGGGTCTCTCCACCGAAGAGCAAATGTATGTGTTCGATAAAACCCCCGAGAATACTCGCAAGGTGGTCTTCTCGACAAATATCGCTGAGGCTTCAGTTACGATCGAGGGCATTGTCTACGTGGTGGACTGCGGTTTCGTGAAGCAACGCGCTTACAACCCAAAGACCGGCATTGAAACGTTGACCGCGACTCCAGTATCAAAAGCATCAGCACAGCAGCGAGCCGGAAGAGCTGGTCGGACGAAACCAGGAAAATGCTTCAGACTGTACACCGAGGACAGTTATGGGGCGTTGCCTGATGCCAACATACCCGAAATTCAGAGATCGAACCTGGCACCGATAATTCTCCAGCTCAAAGCGCTTGGCATCGACAACATTGTGAGGTTTGGTTTTCTGTCACCTCCCCCGGCCGAACTTGTGTCCAAAGCTCTTGAGCTTCTTTATGCCCTAGGGGCTTTGGACGAATATGCTAAGCTCACCAGGCCGCTGGGGTTCAGGATGGCGGAGGTTGCCGTGGAACCAATGATGGCCAAGACTCTACTCTCTTCGCCAGGTTTCAGATGCACTAGCGAGATACTCACCATCGCTGCCATGACTAGCGTCGGTGGGAGCGTATGGTTTCACCATGAAGGCGAACGGAAGAAGATGGAGACATCAAGACGGAAATTCGCTGCAGAGGAGGGTGATCATCTGACGTATCTGAACGCCTACCAGACCTTTGTGTCGAAGGGCAAGAAGGAGCCCAAGTTCTGCCATGAGAACAATCTCAACTATAAGGCAATGGCACGGGCAGTTAGTATACGTGCACAACTGAAGCGTTATCTGGAACGCTTTGATATTCAGGTGGATGTTACGAGTGCAGCATCTCGGCCGGAGAACCCGCTTGAGAAAGCAGAGCAGATACGGAGATGCCTGACTGCCGGCTACTTTGCGCATGCCGCACGAATGCAGCCTGATGGGACATTTAGAAGCGTAGAGGGAGGAGTTGTACTGCACGCACATCCCAGCTCTCTGATGTTCAACCGGAAGGCTGACTGGGTCATCTTTCACGAGGTCATGGAGACGGGCAACAAGATCTTCATCCGCGACGTGACTAAAATAGGCAGAGCGTGGCTTCTGGAATCAGCACCGGAGTTTTACAGGCTGACTGATTAGCGAAGGAGTCAATGTTTGTTTTTCCTCAGATACTGCCGGAGGAGGGGCGATTTGGATTGGAGACCAGCTGCTAGTAATAGTGCTAGCGGTACCTAGCGAGGGATGACGTCGGCAAGGATGGCTGGATTGAAAGACAAAATGAACACAGCTTGTGGCAAATAACGGTGACCGTAAATATCATGCTCTTACTGTATAACAATTAACAGGAGCATACAGGATCTAGGCGAAGGAGGCAGCTGCAGGGCTGAAACTAAGGGAGAGGAGACCTTCCGTTCTTGTCGTTGGTTGGATTCCCGGACCAAGGCAGAAGAGGCCTCAGTTGCTTGGGGGGCTCCGTCAACTCCTCTCTTGGTCCTGCTCTCATCTCGGGGGACAAGAGGTCTGAAGCCCTAGCCGACGCAGTGGCAAGTCTCCCTGACTCTATCCAAGTCGGACAATGGTGAACGTGCAGTGGGCGAGATGAAGGCCGGCAGGCAAGATAACCTAGTTAAATTTGTCTCGTTTCCCAGGCGTCCCTTGCTTGGTTTGGTGCACATTGACTTACGTGTGTGCGTGTGCATATGCTGTGGATGTGGATATGCCAACAGCTTGCGAGTGAGGCTTTTGCTCCCGGTGAAACTCCTTTTACTGTACTGGCTGGGGATGCATTCGAGCTATGCAGATTCGAGTTTAGCGTCAGGGGTAAAACAGGCAGTTGCGCCACGCCGCAGCATCGTACCTGCGTAGAATTTTCCTCAGCGCAGCCAACGCCCGTCGACGGGTCGGTTATTACAGGATTGTCCAGGTGCCCCCGCTCGGCCAGTTGCATGAGGACCAATCGACGAGGTACCTGGAGATACTGTGTGGGACGTAGGACGGCGGACCAGCTGGAAGACGCAGTTAACACTGTGCGTAATACGCAGTGTGCTAACTTGGGAACCGCTCCATGGTAGACCCATGGAACGACTGACCGGAGCTCAGCGCCTGCTCGTTAGTGCGGCGCGCGCGTCTACCTTAATAAGTACCACCTGAGGCCGAATGATAGGAGGTACCTGGCGCCTTCATTGGATTGGCTGCCTCTTGGTGCTTGCGATAGGTACGTGTGCGGTTTGCGAGTTGCGGCTGGGACCTCAGGTCGGTGAGCTCGCTGGCCATGGTCCCGGCAGCTTGTTTTTGCGCATTCATTTCGTCATTCATTAGATTGTAGACATTATACTGGAACAATGCCCTGCTGAGGAGAGACACAGCTCCCAAAAAATGGAAGGCTGCATGAAATTACACTCGGCCTTCGGTACCCATCCTGGGTCCAACCGTCCCTGGCTCCTTCCATGTCAACCAACCGGGGTCAGTTGCTTACTGGTCGAACGGTGGACCCAGATGGTACACGCCCCGGTGCGCCACATCCATCCAAACATCTTGAATGATTGTCTCGACTCTCCTCTTTTGCTTCCTTCCTTCCCATCGTCGGTTCCCTTTTTCAATCTATTGACCGGATGCTCAACGTGCCTGCCAGCAGGCTTGTCGCTCTTTTTATTGTTTAACACTAGTCATTCTTTATTCCATCGAGCATATTGCATTCCAACGCATTGCTGGGCTTCTCGCAACGACTTCAACCCCGTTTCTTCATTGCCGGTCTTTAATCTCATTTTCAGCCGCCCAGAAACCACACAGACCTCACCCACGAACTTGGTGCACATCTCACTAATTCCCCGACCCTTCGACAAGACTGATTTCTCCACATCGAACACGACTGTTTTCTTGAATATTTTTGCGTCGCTTTTTTGTCTTGAGCGTGTATCCTTAATTCGAATCATCTTAATGGACATGTCACCTTGATTGGCCGATAAAGGATATTCTCGTTCGACAGCCTTGGCCGTTATATTTAATTTCTCTTCTTCGATCCTATATATTCTATATTTTGTTCTCAACGTGTCGATATTTGGTTGGATATTTAGGTCTTCCGAGACCTCCCTGAACCGTCGTTTTTCGCTTGGTAATTCGTTTCCCATCACACTCCTTTCGGCATCATGGCGGTTATGGATCTTGTGGGCAAAGATGGGAGTGTTGGGCAAGAGGAGGCTGCCAGGGCATCTGAGCTGTTCACCCGAGAAAAGCCTTTTACCATCAGCAACCTGACCATCACGATTGCTCTCAGTGTCTCGTAAGTACCTTTCCGCCCAGCCTTGTGGTAAAGGGGTTGCATTGACTTACTTCTCGAATCTAGTATTCCTATCGTGGTAATTCTTGTAGTTCTGGCTTTTCTCTATCGTCGGAATCTGAAGAGGCAGAGGCTTGAGGATGCGAAGGACTCTCACCGTGACCTCGATTTTGGTCTTGGCGACACCCCAATGGTAGATGGCAAGAAGAAGTCTCGCAAGAGCTTCCTTATGGGAGGAGACAAGAACAATCATCGAACCAACCAACTTTCCATGGATATGAACCTCTCTTCGCCATATCTGCTGCCACCGCAGGTTCAGGCTTCGCACGATTCCCTGGCTAGGGACTACAGCAAGGAATACGACCCCTACCAGATTGTGAATAGCGAGGTTGGATCCATCAAGTCATTCGGAAAAGAGAGTCATCATAGGTCTGGTCCCATTAGGCAGGGTTCGTTCCCCAAGTCGAGCCTTTCGTCCCACGAAAAGTCAAATCCTTTTGCATCCCCCGTTGCTCCCGAGCCTGTTCACCGGAGCTCTACCCCCAATGACCCAACCGGACCAATCCATCCCATCAAGCCCCAGGTTGCTGAGAGAGGAGATGTGAACGGAATTGAGCCATACCAAACACCAAATATCCAAGAGCCACCAGCAGCTGTTTCCAAAAACCCCATGGACCGAATTGCCAGCCCCCCTATCGACGACAAATTCGATTTTGGACTTCCCCCATCAGACAACCACAATGGCGCTACTAAGTCTCCTACCAACTCTGGTGGTCTTGGAATTGATCTCAACCTCCCACAACCCTTGTCGCCTATCGATGATTTGATGTTCACCACAGCAAATTCAAGTCCGCAACCAGATGTTGGCAGCCCAAAGCCCGCCCAGACCCAGGCCCAACCAACAACTGCCACACCCGGAGCACGAGAATCCCAAGGGAGCTTTTACGATGATCAACCTCAGATTCAGACAGCCGACTATTACGAGGACTACAGTGACTACGGTCGAGGCCGCCCAACTTCAAGGCAGTCTCTGGAGCATCACGTGCAGCCTCAACCGCGACAGCAGCCTGGAGGTTTGGGTGTCCCTCAACAAGAATCTAAGCGACTGTCGGTTGGCTTCCGTCCTCTTCCTCCTGATGATGCTCTGGACTCTGAGGACCCCGAGTACCGTGCTAATCGTATCCGATCCTTCTACAAGGAGTACTTTGACGACTCAAAGGAAACGGCTCCTCCTGTTCCGGGTGTTCCGGCTCAGCACTCTGGCCCGAGCACTCAATACTACGAGGACTATGATGGACGCTATCTTGGTGAAACGGCCTTTTTCGATCCCGATACAAACGCATTCGTCATGCCGTATGCCCAGCCAGTTCACCGTCGTGCCATGACACCACCGCCTGCCGGACGTAGAGGACCCCCGGGCCCTGGCCCTCGCGGCGCACCTCGGTCGGCATCTCGAGGACCTCGACCTCATGGCCCACACGGGTCTCTTGGTGGAATGAGCCTTCCTGGTGGACCACGATCTCAATCAGCATGGGGCCCCAGACCTGGATCTTCTGCCTCACGACAGGGGAAGAACCTGCCACCACCTACCGCTCTGAAGACCCTTCCTACCCCATCCAAACTCACTGATGACTCTTTTGCCCTGATGACCGCCACTGACTTCGCCCCTCCTGATGCTTTCGGTGAGAGGGCTCGTGGAAGATCACAGAGCCCTCTGGGTGAAAGACGCCCTTACCAGCCCAAGGTTCCTGCCGCCTCTCCCCTTGTCAACGCCTATGACGAGCTTAATGCCCTCCCTAGCCCGTAAGTTTATACCTTTTGTGTATGTTTTTAGTCTTGTCTAACAGATGTGTAGGCACCTCCTCCGCAAGTCGTCCACCTTCACTGGCCTTGATTTCTTGCCACCCAAGAAATTTAAGGATGGGGATTCGATGAGTGATGCGGGAAGCATTCGAAGCAACCGGAGTGGTCTCTCTGCGCAAGCAGCGCATGCCATCCGTTCCGGAGCTGGTCGTATCAGTCGACTACCGGGTGACCAGGTCTTTACACAGCAAGCACTCGCCTCTGAGCTGAAACCCCAGTGGGGAATGCGTCAGTAAGCTTGACATTGTATCAGCCGCCTTCGCTCTGCAGCATTCATTGGCTATTTTGCCATGATGACGTTCTTTGCTTTTTTGGCATAGCGCCTGGCCCATTGAGAGGCTTCATCGGCATTGACAAGAATTTGGGTGTTTGGATTTTGTTTTCCTTTCGTGGGAGTATATTTGGTCGCGATTGGCTTTAATTTTTGGGGTAAATTTGCATATAGAAGGATTGGAAATCACCCAATACGAAACATAACGAATCGCGCTCTGGGTTCTGAAATTAGATTCGAGCTTGTATATAGCGGTGTGAAATAGGAACCTGGTTGATGTTTGTTGACATCAAATATCCTGCACTTCTTTTCGCCCACGACCTTGGCTTTGAACTCTGTTGCCTCGTATCAGACAGCCGAAGCTGAGGCTTGCATCTGTCTTCCGACTGTATCTAGCTAGCTGACCCGCACATCTACTTGAGCGAGTGAAGTATGGGGCGTGACAGTCTCAAGAAGGGGTTACAACAATTGAGTTTAGGTAGGGGCTAGATCAAGCATGGCTCGGCGGCGACTGGAGTGGTTACCGATTTCTGGCTGGTTTGAAAGCCAACTTGTCTGGCGGCCGCCGAGAGTCTGTTGGCACTGGAGTCTGGAGGTCAAAAGCACGAACTCTAAACTGGCTATTTAAAGTTATTTTTAACAGCATAGTGCTGATCACCTGTTGTGGTGGCGGGTGAGCGACGGCTGATTTGCACAGCCATGATAGAGGACCATACACATCAAAGGAATGAGATGTCTCTATTGGCCATCCGGACGTCGGACCAGATGATGGGTGGTGGGTTGCAAGATCAGAAAGGGTGTGCCCCATGTGGGGGATAGATAAGTTTGATTATTGGCAATTACACTGAAGATATCATGGAAGCAGGGAGGGGATATCTGCATGTGCTGGGGAAGTCTCGGTGTCTACTATGTATTTGATTTGCTGTGTTGCGCTGTACATGTGCGGTAGGTGAGAATATTGCTGATTATACCCCTGATTAGGCAATCGGATATTATTTTGGACTGGGCTTGTTGTATCATGGGGATCCCCGTTCGAATTAAAATGAGTGTCTAAGCTGAGGTAATACCTCGATGAATGAACAGGAAGGAAGCGGGAGGGACGGGTGCTGGAAAAAAAAACACAGAGACACATTGGAGTCAGTGATTGGCTGGGGAGATGCCATTTTGGAGATTTTGCCACGCGACGTTGGGTTTCGCCATGCGATGATGGGCATTTATGGACTGGCTGAGCGTGATCGCTCACCGGGTGCTTGCACGTCGGCGCTGGCCGCTGGGCAGGTGAGCTGGGTGGCGCCCCTTTCCACACACCACCCAAGAGGTGCTGTGTTGAGATGCCATCCACGCTACATGTTTGTGTCTTGTGCATATGCATGGAGAGGAGGATGGAGTAGTGTGAGTGTGCTGCGCTGGTATGGGTGGGATGGAGATTGTGGCTCTGCATGCGTATGGGAGAGGAACGGCGATGGCCGATCTATCACACCCGAGCCCACACTCGGCAATTCTCGTGTTGCTTGAAGGCAAAAAAAATAGCCACCATCTCCAGAGGCTGATCAGCCGATCCGAGGAGGAGGAGATGCCAACAGAGCAATCGGGTGTCGTTTGCATCTGCCATGGACTCAACTCGTATCAAGCCAGAGCTCGTGGTGATGCACAGCGACTAGTGCGTGTAGGTGTATTCTTCCTCTGTAGACGCGCCTGTAACCCCGTATCCAGCGGGGCCTGTCCAGTAGCTCTGGTATGTGCCCACATGAAGGTACAGCGCCGTACTGGGATAGCGCCAGTGCCGCTGTAAAGCTACAGCCGGGGCTCGGCTCAGTGAGGACGGCCTTGGTGCTCCCGCTGTCTGAACATGGATGCTATCTCGTCTCATCTGCCGCCCAGCAGTGCTGTCGGGTGAATTATGCAATTGGACGGAGCTCCCTACCTTGGCTGTGTTTCACGAAGAAGGCATATTATGTAGAGAAACTCGTGCTTGGGAGGGCATGCCGGAATCAGACTCGCAAATATTAGTGCTGGCCCGTCTCCAAAACCGGCCCTCGATGGTGATAGTTTTGGCTGCTTACCTGGGCTAGTCAGTACTAGTAAGTAAGCCACCCGAGCTCTGCCCCTTGTTATACGGTTCCAGCCCGCAGGTATGCACGATAAATTTAGCCTGCAAGATATGGCGAGCCTCAATTTTGATAACGACGAGGCCCGCGACTTACTCTTTTTGTATCTTGGTCAAGCCACGTCTGAGTTCTCGCGGGCCGGCTGTGGGCCTCATCTCGTCATGGGCTATGGACTACATTACACTCCCTACTCAGGAGAGAAGACTCTTTGGCTTGCAAGGTGTCACCGCCTGCTGCCATGTTTTCTGTATCACCAAGTACAAGTTTCGTCGATGCCAACAGCAATTGGCCACGGCATGTTCGTGATCCCTGCTGCAAACAGCCCCATTCCCCGGCGTGCGAAATTACCTGTCAAAGGGACTCTCCGTACTTATTACCCAGGAGGTTTGCAGCAGTAAAATTCAACCATCCGTCGAATAGATGATGTAAACATCTGAAAGTTTATGTTTACCGAGAACTCTGATCGTGTAAGGTTTCCTGCGAACAAACAAACAAAAACAAAACCATGGCTGTGTGTGTCATGTAGAACACAGAGCGAGACGCCCAAATTCCTGGCGATTATGAAGTATTACATAACCTCAGTCAGTCTGCAACGGCCTACACAGCCACAGTGTGCTTAAAGCAGCGCTGATTAGCCACCAGCTGGGAGCTACTGAGGCGCGCGATGGCGTCTTGGTCGGTCTTATCCAACCGTAATTCCCCAGTGACACGCAGGGATTCGAACCTGCTTTCGTGTGGGAGCGTTGCCGAGTCCGTCCTAGAGCAGATACAGCTAGACACACACCTGGTCGATAGCCTGTGGCAGGGCAAATTTCTGGAGGGTTTCCACTGGCCCAGGCCACTAGAACGAGTGCTGGCACCCGAGATCTGGGCAGTCCCCAGCAACGCTCCCTCCAGAGTCAGTCCCGAGTCCGACCCATGCTGAGCTCATCTCCATGTCTGTTTCCATTTCGACATCGTCGCTCTGCTGCTCCTCCGTCTTTCCAATCTCTTCCCGCCTTGCTCCCCGCGTTTGATTGTGAGGCTACCAGCGAGCATTGCATGGTTTTCCCTCGAAAATAGAGAGCCTCGACACTCCATAGCTAACTGGCCCAAGGCCAAGGTACGTGACTGACTTTCTCACACCTGCATCCGTCGTGTTATTTTTTTTTTGCTATTTGCCATGGGCAGCACCCAGACCTCATCCGGTGGCCATGAAGCCGGAAAGAGTCTGCACTGCAGCCACAGGCAACACAAGATCTGCCCGCTGCGACACTGGTCTTGACGTGGCCGGCGTTCGTCCCCAGTCGCATCTCTTGTCCCTGTGCTACATATTCCCTTGAACGGGTGCATACACGCTCCCGCGCCATTTACGCATCGTGATGGGCATGGTGATGCAGCAGCTAACAGAGACTCGCACGTCCAGGGAACCCCTAGACCACCGCATCGAGGACATCAGTCTCGTCCGTCAAAATGTCTTCCCCCTCTGCCGCCACCAGCGAGGTGGTCCCGACTTCGAATGTTGTACCGACATCTGCAGCAACATCGAACGCTGCTCCTTCAACCTCGGCAGCGGTTCCATCTTCTGCCTCTCAGCCTGCTACCTCGCAGCAGCCAACTTCAGCGGCCCCGACAACTTCGGCAGTACAGCCAACCACCTCAGCCTCGAGCCAGGCGCCCTCCAGTTCGGCGCAGCCAACAACATCTCAAGCGCCAACCTCATCAGCTCAACCAACGACATCCAACCCACCAACTTCTGCGCCAAGTTCTTCAGCCGCTGCCTCATCAAGTGCCCCTGCCAGTAGCCAAGCTCCCGTCACAAGTAGTGCCGCGCCGAGCACCTTTGTAACCACAATTATTCCAACTGATGGCGGAAGTACGCAGACCAGTGTAGTGGTCGTAACCAGCACAATCAATGGTGTTGACAGCACGGCATCTTCCACCTCATCTTCCACTTCCAGCCCTTCCCTGACACCCGGTGATTCGTCAGGAAGTGGCAGCTCGGGTCTCAAGACTGACGCTAAGGTCGCCATTGGTGTTGTGGTCCCCATTGCTGGCATTGCTCTGATTGCGATTGCCGCCCTGTTCTTTTGGAGGAAGCGAAAGGCCCGACTTGCCGCTGAGGAGGAGCGCCGCAAGGAGGTTGAGGATTACTCGTACAACCCCAATGCTGATCCCACGATCCCTGGTGTGGTTGATGGTGGCTATGAGATGAACGAGGATACCTCAGGGGGCTACCGCGGCTGGGGCACCACCACTCTGGCCAGCTCCAACGGTCGCAAGGCATCGACGACGCTGTCGGGAGGCAAGAACGCCTACTCTGATCCTGCATCCCCCACACAAGCTCCCATTGGCGTGGCACGGTCTGATGGCGAGATCCTGGGGGCCATGAACAACAACGGCAACAGCCGCGCCGTGGGTGTTGACCGTGGCCCTTCCAACGCTTCATCCTCCTACAGCGCTGCGAACCGATCAGATGGTTCCGATATACAGGGCGGCGTTTCATACGGACAGGGTGCGACGTACTATGACGTGCAAGATCAGGAACCTTATACCGATGGCCATTATCATGACACGCCCGCCCAGCCCGTCATCCGCGATAATCCGGCCCGCCGCAACACACGCATCGAAAACACATCACATTATCCCCAGCAAAGCGCGGGTATCTCCCAGAATTTCTAAACCGAAACATGACATTTTCCCCTCTTGCTTCTGGTCGGTCACGGCGTTCAGGTTTCAACGACTTTTATCCATCGTAACTCGTTTTTAATACAGCCAGCAACCGCTTGTCCATGCACCACCTTCCAAAACGAGACGGTGTATGCGCCTTTCGTTCAGTATCTCCTTACCCATCAGTTACGGAACTGTGGTGCTTCCAGCTTGCGCCACATTGTACAGGCTTCCGTTGTTCCACAGGGCGGATTCCCTTCTGAACTTGATCCTCATCTCCCAATGGGAAGTCACATATTACGATCATATATCACAAAAAAACCTAGAATTGGGTACATATCTTCGCCCCTATCACTTTCCTTTTTGTTTGTGTGCGACAGTTTAGTCGCGCTCATGGGTTGGCATAGCGAGGTCTCTTCTGAATTTCCCCTGTTCTTAATCAGTCTACTACTCCGATATACACACACGCCTTTCCTTTCATAGTTGTCTCTCTTTTTAATTTGGTTGATGTTATACCATTGGCGGCACCAATGTTCGATAGCTTGGATAGTACCAAAGTATATGTTGGAGAAGCTACGAGGTGGAATGTGTGCGGAACAGCCGTGTATTGTTTTCGTCGATACGAATATAAGCCCCGAGATCTACCACGTATACATGTTTTCCCTCCTAATTGGTTCCTAGTGATGCTTTCTGTGGATGCTGATTCTCGTTGTCTGGTATGAGGATGGCCGAGCCCTAGGATACCGCCTGAAACGCACCCTGTGCCGTTCATGTTTTAGTACGCCTCACTCACGACTCCCGCATTCCCGTCGCCTTGACTCAACTCCATCCTGTCCCACCAGAACCTGCAGACCTCCTTCTCCCTTTCCGTCAGCGTCCTTGTCTGGACCGGCACGCCTGCGTTCCCACCTCCTGGGACTTCGTCATTGCCTTGACCAAACACGAGCAACTTCCCCTTGGCTTCGTCGCCGTCGTCTTCACCAAACGGCGTCACGAATGGAGGCCATCTGTCTTCGGCGAATATGCCGGTAGGGGATGCCGCAAACTCCGTCCAGCGGGAATGCATCTCCCCGCTCACGGCACCCAGCCCCGGATAGTCTGCTGCGCCCACCGCCGAGTGAGTGACAAGGTCTGAGTGGCTCGCGTGCGACGCTGCTCGGTTGGCCTCCGAGACGAGAGCGGCGAACTCGTAGAGGTACACCCTACCGCCGAGCTTGGAGATCATGTGGGCCGTGTGGATGACGGGGCAGATGTAGGCGTAGTCGCCGTATGCCACGCCGAGACGGCGGACGAGGTCTGCGCGGTCTGCTTGGTCATTGGGAGGGTAGAGTGTCTCGAGGGCCTCGAGGTCGGTAGGGGTCAGGGAAGGGATGAGTTTGGCGAAGAAGGAGCGAAAATCGCTGCAGCTCTCTGTTATGAAGTCGATGCCCTCGCTGGTGCAGAAGCCAGTTATGACAGCAGCTGGGAGCGGGCTGGTTTCACCCCCGGGAGCCTTTCGTTGCCAGAGATTGAGGGGCAGGTCCGGTATGATGCCTCCAGGCCCGTCCACGACCGGCTGGAAAGGCCAGGTGAGGGAGTCTGTGTGCCTGGAGAATACATCGAGGCCGGCGTTGAGTAGGAAGTTGACCTTGACAGTCCCGGGAGGAGTTATGACTGGGAGCATGCTGGAGCGAACACTATCAAGGTTGGCAACGGTGCGAGGATGGGAGGCGGAGAGCACGGAGCGAGCTGTAGGCGACCCGGATTCAAGTATGGCTTTATGGAAGGGCAGGGGAGATGGGTTTAGCATGTGGTGCCCGACCTACGTAGGAGCTGTTAGCCAACATAGCGAAATGGATGATCTCACAGTAAGTAAGTAGACGAACCGAGTGTGCCCCTGCGCTCACGCCTCGTAGAGTGATGAGCTTTGGATCGCCGCCAAATACTGGGATCCATGAATGCACCCATTCTATAGCCAGTCTCTGGTCCTTGAGCCCCAGGTTGGCCTCCCCTTCGCCGGCCAGGAACCCCAGCACGCCGAGCCTATAGTGCACGGCTACGACGATGATGTCCTTCTGGGCATGGGCGATGAACGAGACTGAATCAGTTTCTGAGGGGTCGCCAAAATTGAAGGCTCCGCCGTGAAAGTAGATGAGGACTGGAAGTGACTGCTGCGACGACGCCGTTGACGGACGTGTGATGTTGAGCCGCAGCGTGGAAGTCGTGCAGTTGGGGTTTGGGCCGGCATGCTTGAGCCGTGAAGCATCTAGTCTTTTCCCCGAGGTTTGAGAGCCCAGTGGCAGTGGACGGGCTTGGGAGAAGCGATCCGCGGAGGCATAGGGGATGCTGTAGAACGCTTCGACTGGCCTTGGGCAGGCGGCCGAGGCGGCCGGTGAGAACCGAGCACCTATGATGAGGCAGCCATTTATCGCGATGATTGGGGAGGACGTTGGACCGGATTGCATGTTGGAATGCCTGTGAAATGAATGAGATGGCGAACTTTGGAAGAGCCACAGAAGGCGGCGCGGTCAGAGCAAGTGAGACCGGTTCATTTATGCAGGACGAGGCTCGCTGTGGTTGGCTTAGGAAAGAGTCGGGCTTTCCCCCGCTCTTGGGTGAATGAATCGAGTAATATGTACTACACGAGATAGGGAGGACGTCGAATAACATCATCTCGGGCACCAGAATTATGCTTTAGGCAGAAAGTCATGTTGGACCGGATCATAAGGCGATCATAAGGCGTTCATATACTACTACAAATGAATGATCATTAAGGTAGTGCCTACTGCCAGCGCCTACACCACTGCCACATGATGTGCATAGACGGTAAATAAATAATTGATACCTATAGATGTAGCACCGCTACCGGAACCCGCTCTTCTTCTTCGGTTTCTTCGTCTTCTTCCGCTCTCCAAACACACCCGAGACGGGCTGGCTCATGGTGAAGCCCATTGGTCCCTGACTTTGTGAAGAGGCAGGGACTTCCTGACTTGACATTATCTGTTTGTGCCCTGTTTGCATTGAAGGGAGACCGCCGCTGTCCTCCGCCTGGCTGGATAGTACTTCCTTCCGCATGAAGGCTGGCCGCTTGTACTTCTCCGCCATGGACCGCCGCTTGGCTTCAATCTTTTGTAGCCGTTGCTTTGCCTCGTCGTGCTGGCTTTCCGAGGTAAGGAGCACACTGGACATGTAGTGGCTTGGGTCTACGCCTCGCTCGGCGGGCCAGTACGAGAGGACACTGGCCGGCTTGGAGGCGCCTAGTTTCCCTGCCTGGACGCCGGGTGCCAGCAGTCGCAGTCTCTGAATGGCCGCATCAAGATCCGGAGCTCTGCTCATAATTGGAGAAGAGGACGGGATGGGACTGGGCAAAGGGGATGACCGAATAGATGATGGAGCGGGCGTCTCGGCCTGCGTTTCCCGTGTAGCCATATTGCCGAACAGAGGCACATCCTGTACAGCAGTGCCTTGCGTAGCAAGAAAAAGCTCCTTTCCCAGCTCGGTTATCCAGTTATGTCTCAAAGCTAGTTCTTTCCTGGACATTTTTTCTCTCAATGGCTCGAGCCATATTCTCGATAATTGGTCCCTTGGTTGGGACCACCAGCCGACTGTAGGATGTGGCGCGCCTGGTTTCCTGCATCGAAGCTGGGTGATGACTACTTCATCTCCGAATTTGGCGACTAGAGCTTCTAGATCTTCATGAGTGGCCTCGCCGGTCTCAGACCGGTCTACGACACCCTCATCTAGGCCGTTACTGACCTCAAGCCTTGGTTCCAGTTAGCTCTCCGAAAGGGGTATTTGGGGTAATCAGTTAGATAAAAGAGGGCAAGCTCTTACCAGGTAAACAGAGGTAACGTCCCTGACGAGAGTCCCTGCTGAATAATGTCTTGCACACTGTCAAGAAGAGCAGCCGACAGGCCGCTTGAGTTTTGGTCTGAATAGCGAAGTAATGACGCACGAATATGTCGAGCAATGGTATCGAATCTCAGTGATATTGGCCCATGAGCAGCATTGGTGTCTCTACCCATATGGGCTTTAGTTTGCGCAGCGCCTCTTGCCTGAGGTTGGGAATCGAGTAACTGCATATCCATATATGACATGGAATCAGGGAGTATGAATTTATCTCCCATATGACGTAGGAGTTTGATTCTCTTCTTTCTCCATCGTCGATTTTGGTCTTGCGGTGTCCACTTCAGTCGAGTGGTGGGAAGGGTCACCTCCAGTGTGGGATCTTGAATGCTGAAGCAAATGCAGTATTTGACACTCAAATCCTGACCCAAGATCATGCCTTGGTAGAATTGACACCCATTTCTCAAATACAATGACCCAACACCCTGCCTCGGTGTCAGGGATTCTAAGAGAACGGGATGTAGGATGAGCGTTTGGAAATTGGACTGTGCCCTGTCTGAATCTGTTCTGGGCAACTGTGTCAACTGACTGTGCCACTTGGAGAGGCCTTTCTCGGGGGTCAGAGTGAACCACAACAATTCGAGTTGTAAATCTTCAGAGGAACAGACAGCTATCATAACGCTGTCTTGCTCATCAGTCGTGATGTGGCTGATGTTCATTCTCATGCCTTGCTTGGCGACTGAGCTGTGTGGGCAGGTCAGGATGATGGATGGCGTGAATACCTGGTCGGATTCAGTATCCAGAGGAAAGACGTCAATCCAAACGATGAACCTTTCGGTCATGACGAATATGTGTCGCCTATTTGCTGGGCTCATCTGCACGTCGACAACATGGCCGAAATTTGAGGTGGCGGATGAGAAGTCTGGAACTTGGACCACCATTTGGCTTTCCTCAACGTCGACGATATTCAGACGCTCTCTATTCCACAGAAGGAGATGCCTTGAACGTAAAGTTGGGCCATGCTCGCTTTCAAACCCAGCAAATGGGTCATTTGTGATATTGACCACATCAGTTGACCCAATGAAGAGGGCCCCGTGTACCTCGGCGGGATATAAAGGCACCGCTGGTATTTCACCCAGAGACCCTTCCCATATGTGGCCGCATTTGTATGGTGTCAGTCGTAAAGCGGTCGCATTCCGTCCCAGCTTGCCATGGATGTTCCAGAGCGTCCAGTAGCCACATTCATCAACAACACAGAGCTGAGGGGGTGAGCTGTCTGCAGGGACGTTAAAAGTTACATCCGCATGCGCGTTTCCACCCGTCTCATGGTGCCACAGAGTCAAAATTGGGTTTGCGCTGATCCGGGACGAAGATTGTCCTTGGCCAGAAGGGGCATTCCGGGCGGTGTTGAGGGGAATAGGCTGGTACTCGGGCTGCAGAATTACCGTAGATGTTTCCTTCTGCACAACAATCCATCTTATGGCCTCGTATCGCGAACCAGCGCTGGATACATATTTGACTTGGGAGATGGGCAATCCATCACTCTCCCAGATAAGCTCATCGTCCTGATCTACCGGATCTATAACAGAAAGATGAAGAATGCTATGTTCGTCGTCATCCCACTTCCACTTTGAGTCTTCAATACGGGCAAGACGTAAAAGCTCGCCAGACTCCCCGGTTACGGCTGCAAGGACTGGGATATTCACAGGCCTAGAAGGCTGGCTCCAGTCGACCATCTCAGCCATTACAAGAAGAGACCGTGAACTCAAGGTATCATCAAGTTTCTGGAACCGGTCAATGTTCTCAGTCAAGAGACCCGAGACAACCGAGTTTCCTAGGAAAGCTTCAGGGTGCGACTTGAGCAACCATCGCTTGTGAATGTTCCGCTCTACCCCCAGCCGAGAAACATTTTGGCCTGAGAGTTTAGATCTGGAAGGCGGATAGAGCTCTGCCGGCTTCCCAAGGGATTTGAAATAAAGGACTATCTCAAAAAAAAAAAAAGGTCAATACGGTGTAACCTGACTTTTACCTGTACCTTACGGGAGCGAAAGCGACCTACAATCTGAAGTGCAACGGGATGTATGAAGCGCGCCAATATCGGTTTTGGTTATGTCTCGAGGAATATATGTCAATCGCCCCGCCTGACCGTATTTACGGTCGGCGAAGCGCCGTGCTTCAGCCATTGGATCGATACCAGGATATCCGGAAGTGCCAGAACCAAAATGCAGACAAGCTCTTCCGCATTGCGACTGTGTCTAGGACAGGAGGCTATAAAATGTACACTCGCGAGAAATCGTAGATCGCGTAGAAGACGGACTGGAAATCGGCCATTTAGCTGTATGAAGAATGGCGCTGAAGTTATGTAACTGGAGTTGAGATCATGATTCTCATAAGAAGAGTTGAGAACTGAGCTTAAAGAGCTGGATTCATGTGGCGGATGTGGCTGGGGAGCCGTTTGCGCCACACTCGGAAAAAGAAATATGTTGGCTCAGCAACCGCCCGCCGCAATCCAAGATCACTTTAGCATAAACATTGGCGGCACTCGTTTTGCGACAAGGCGGCCAGCATCACCAATATCACGGCGACGAAACCAAGCACAAAAGATTGACAGATTTCGAGTGACACATCACCGTTCAAGATGGCGACCGCTTTCGAATCCTCTCTGTCGAGCAGCCAAACCCGCCAGACTCTGGCACCAGCAGGCCCCTCAAATGACTATACCCTACCCAACATTGATTTCGGCTTCGATGAGCTGCGCGATCGCATGGCGAAATTCACCGCCAAGTTCGATACGTTCATCGAGCAAGGGCGCAGGCGTGTATTAGAGGAGCGCAATCAATTCCGCATGAACATTGCTGAGCTACAAGGTAATAGGAAACCGGTGAAAGAGATATGACCGACCATCCCGGCTAACAATCTCTCCCAGAGGACCAGCGCATGAAGAAGAAAGACGTCGAGATTGTCCAGGTTAAAACATCAACACACCAGCAGACGATGGAGAAGGAAGATGCCGAGACGCGCGAGATGGAGGCCGCGGTTGCGTCGCTGGCCGCGCAGCGGGACAACCACCATGCAAACCGCGACGCCCTCAAGGCGCAGATCGCACAGGTCCAAGCAGAGATCGACACGAGGCTCGCAGCGCAACGAGAGTACGCCGCGCAGCAGGAGGCGCAGTCGAGGTTCAATGTCCCCGAACTCGATTTCTGGATCACGAATCTCTGCCTGCGGATCGAGGGCGCCGGCCACAACGACAGGCTAAAATTCATTTACACTCATCTCGACGAGAGGGACTGGGAGCGAGAGGCGTGGTTCGAGCTTGTCACCAGCTCGAGAGACTACGACGTAAAGCACTGCAGACCCAAGTTGGAGAGAGAAAAGGTGGAGCGCGTATTAGACAGGGTGAATGAGTCGCGAGAGCTCGTCACGCTGCTGAAGGGGATGAGGGAGCTATTTGTTGAGGCGATGAAAGCATGAGGGGTGTTTGTGGCCTTGGGTCGAGATGGTGATGAACTGTTAACATTTACGCCACTACAACTAATATAACGACTATGATCAGCTTGTAATTATTTTATAGCATGACACGATTGAAAGAATAATTCAGAAGCTTTCTTGTTCATTC